TTGGGAAGGGTGTGAGAGTGGTATCAGAAAAGGCAGGCCCCTTGAAGTATGGAAGATCAGGGAGTGTGTCCAATGTCAAGGATGGCACAGCAAGCATCATGACAGAGAAGGGTGTCATTAGCACACAGATGGAGTTCCTGATGCTGGAAGATGCAACATGGAAGAAACCCAGAGCATACAGGACCTTTCAGTATATCACAAGGGCATCATTGCAAAGCATGCTGCAAGCAATAGCTGCCCATCCAGAGCCATTTGTTGATACAACATACCCCTTGCTTGGGATAGATGCAGACACATACCTGGAAGATCAGCACATTGTATTGGCATGGGCATGGATGCAGTGGCAATTGAACATTCCTGAGTCTGTGCAGTGCTTGGATCCAGCATTGATGGGAAAGCTGACTGTGAACATGACTGAGATGGGTGAGGCTGGCTATGAGTTGGTCAAGGGGCAAATCCTGGACTGTGCATCAGGTGTTGATACTTTGTGCATCCCAACCCCTGCCCATGGAGCGCCCAAGCATTGGACCCTATTGGTGAAGAAAGGGGATCAGTGGCATTACTATGACACCTTGGAAGGTGGACATCCTGAATGCCTGAAGTATGCCCATGAGATTGTGAAGCTGTTTGAAGGAGAGAATGCAGCAAAAATCAAACTGGAATGCAGGAACCATGTTCGCCAGAAAGGAGCTGATTGTGGATATTTTGTCATTGCATACATGGAGGTTGAGGCATGCACCCATGTTGAAGGCCCAGCGTCTAGGGGATGGCCAATGGCAATCAAGGAGGAATGGCAGATCAGAATGCAGAAGATGAAGAAGGTATTGAGCACAGAATCCAGCAAGCTACATCAGCCTATGCAGGACATTGAGAAGAAAGCATACAATCTGAAGAAGAAGCAGGATGATGCATATGCAGCAGCCAATGAGAAATTGAAGAAATTGAAGGACATGAAGTGTCATTCAGCATTAGTAGCAATGCAGGCAATGAATGAGAACAGCAAGTTCTTCAGGGCATCAGATTTGAGCCATGAGGCAAGCATGGAGATCAGGATGGCTGAGACAAGATTAGCACCATGCAGCAAATGCAGATTTCAGACTGGATGCCTGAGGTGCATTGCCATGAAGGCATTTGCCTACTGGATGAAGAAGGAGGCATTCCTCGCGAATAAGGTGCCCAAGATTGAAGGACCAGGGCTGAAAGGGATTGTGGTGGTGGTAGTGGTGGTGGTGGTGGTGGTATGGTGGTGGTGGTGGTGGTCATTTGCTACTGCTGCTCTTGGAGGATGGGGAAAGGGGAGAGGGAGGGAGATGAGCATTGAGAGTGATTATTGACCTTGAATAAAGATTGATTGAGTGCCAAAAGCATGCAAATCCTATGGCAAATCAGGTTTCCCTGGCATGATCCCTGGATAAATTCACTATGAAACCATGCAAATTCCATGGGGGATGAGGGTTGGGAGCACTGACCCTGAATAAAGATTAGATGCCAGAAGCATGCAAATCCTATGGTAAATCATGGCATGATTTTTGGATAAATTCACTATGAAACCATGCAAATTCCATGGGGGATGAGGGTTGGGAGCACTGACCCTGAATAAAGATTAGATGCCAGAAGCATGGAAATCCCATGGTAAATCATGGCATGATCCCTGGATAAATTCACTATGAAACCATGCAAATTCCATGGGGGATGAGGGTTGGGAGCACTGACCCTGAATAAAGATTCGATGCAAAAGCGTGCAAATCCCATGGTAAATCAGGATTCCCTTGCATGATCCCTGGACAAATTCACTATGAAAGCATGCAAATCCCATGGGGGATGAGGGTGGGAGCACTGACCCTGAATAAAGATTGGCTGCCAGAAGCATGCAAATCCTATGGTAAATCATGGTTCCCTGGCATGATCCCTGGATAAATTCACTATGAAACCATGCAAATTCCATGGGGATGGGTTGGGAGTACTGACTTGAATAAAGATTGATGCCAGAAGATGCAAATCCCATGGTAAATCGTTTTACCATGAAATTTGATGGGGATGAGGTTGTATACTGATCCTTGAATAGAAGATTGGATGCCAGAAGCATGCAAATCCCATGGTAAATCAGGTTTCCCTGGCATGATCCCTGGATAAATTCACTATGAAACCATGCAAATTCCATGGGGGATGAGGGTTTGGAGCACTGACCCTGAATAAAGATTAGATGCCAGAAGCATGCAAATCCCATGGTAAATCAGGTTTCCCTGGCATGATCCCTGGATAAATTCACTATGAAACCATGCAAATTCGATGGGGGATGAGGGTTGGGAGCACTGACCCTGAATAAAGATTAGATGCCAGAAGCATGCAAATCCCATGGTAAATCAGGTTTCCTATATGATCCTCGATATCCACTAGAAACCATGCAAACCCATTGGTTGTTGGGGTTGTATACTACCTTGAATAAAGATTAGATGCTGTCTCGTATACAAGATCCCATAGGAATCATGGTAATGATCCCTGGATAACCATCATGAAACCATGCAAACCCAGGGGATGAGGGTTGGGCACTGGCCCTGAATAACAAACAGTGCCAAGAAAGCATGCAACCGATGGTAAATCATGGCATGATCCCTTTGATAACAACTATCATGAAACCATGCAACCTATTAGATGAGGGTTGGTTAATGATCTTGAATAAAATCTTCATTGTGCATGGATCCTAATGGGAATTCATGTTCTTTAGAGCTAGAATCGTATTTGTCTCACTTTGGGGAAGGTTATTTGTTTGAATTACTTTATATTATTTTTCATTCTTTCATATTTTTCCCCTGGGAAAAAACGGTTAGCATTATTCATGGTATATTTATTATTTTTTTTGAAATCGGTTAGCATTATTCATGGTCTATTTACTAATCGTAGGTCAACAGTAGGTTATCCGTACACGGTTTGCTAGGTAGGCGTATTGATGCGGGCTGAAGCAGATGTTACTCAAGGCAGAAACGATGAAGGGAAGTGTTTGGGAGGTAGATAGGTTGACTGCGACCGATATGTGGACATCGCGTGCTTAAGGGGAGCTTACTCCAGCAGCGTTCGTGCGACTTGTGGTTTGCAAAACGAATGGCAAAAGCGTGGGCCACCTTCTTGTCACCATCCATACTTGTTGAACAAGGTAGCGCGAGCAGCGTCTCATGCGCGGAGTTTAAGGTAGCGGCGCGCGCACACTGTGAGTGGCCCGTAGGCTTCGGTCACAGGCCTCGGTGAGGCAGCAGCGTGCGCGCTGGCGGCTGTCTTCCCCTAGCTCAGCGCAGTTGGTTCAGGCTTCGGTCACAGGCCTCGGCGAGGCAGCAGTATGTGCGCTGGCAGCTGTCTTCCCCTAGCTCAGCGCAGTTGGTTCAGGCCTCGGTCACAGGCCTTGGCGAGGCAGCAGTGTGTGCGCTGGCAGCTGTCTTCATTTATGTCAGTGCCATTGCTGCAGGCTTCGGCCACGTCGCCATAGAGCGGCGCAGTTGATGTCGCTGTCGGATACTCCGTCGAGCATGTCTTTGCGGTAGCAGGCTGTTGCCACGTTCCGCACAAGCAGCGTGAAACAGGGGCACCCCGCACAAAAGAGCGCGAAAGATAAAAGGCTGTTGCCACGTTCCGAACCAGCAGCGTCAAACAGGGGCACTCCGCACAAAAGAGAGCGAAAGATACATAGAGGGAGAGACAGATAAGAAGATATAAGAAGAGAGCAAAGGTGTAAAGGTGATGCAGATAACTTCTTCCCATCCGCGAGTTTCAGACGCATCGCTCAGGCTCGGACGCAGGCGAACAAGACGAAGATTGCGTTGATGGGCGGGCTCGCGCCTCAGACTGAGCCCGTGTGCAGCAGTTGCAAGAGTGCTAGCAAGCGCGCGAATCACCAGCAGACAGTGGCATGCAAGCGCAAGCCGTGAATGGGTGGCTCGTGTTGGCTCAACGTGTCAGACGACTAGCCACGGAACGGCTTTTTAGGTGCACGAACGGAACATGTCTAGTGGGAGAGCAAACAGCTCATCAGCAGCATGGAGATGGCGATGTGCTACGCGGTGGCGTTCTTGGTCGGAGTGGTCATGGGCGCGATGGCTGCGGGCCCGCAAGTGCGCGGCGTTGTGGCGCGCGGCAAGGTTTTGAAAGTGAAGGGCCGCCGCCGCGGCCGAAGGCAATGCGTGAGGGCAGTTCGGCGCCACGCAGCGATGGCGGGCGTGCTGGGCACGCTGATGTTGCTACCAACAGTACAGGGGCTTCTGCTGGCCTGCTGCAGGTACCGCCAGCGATCGTGGCTTGTCTTGGCATTGCGGTTGCTGGATGGAAGTCCTTCTTGTGGGGCAAGAGGACGACCAGCTGGCAAGGATGTTCTGGCGCCAGGCAAAGTTATGCGGTGCGGGGTGGCGCGGAAAAGCAAGAACAAAGGCAAGAGTGCAAGCTTGAGCGCGGAGAGGAGCAGTTCGAAGGCACAGGCCTTTGCAATGTGGGCAACACATGCTACATGAATGGCGTCCTACAGGCTCTCTTCCATTCCAAGCAGTTATGCCTTAGGCTGCAAACACATGTTGCGCAGAGGAAGTGCGCGGCCGACTGCGCCACATGCTTGCTTTGGCAAACCAACGCACTTCGACTCTTTGGCCAAGCGGACCGTGCGACCATGGAGATGTGGAAGCCTTTCTTGCAAGCAGCTGGGCTAGGTGGCGGTGAGCAGCAAAGTGCTGCGGACTTTGCCATGTCGTTGTGCTCCAAGGCGCGGGGCAGCAAGCCGGTTGTGTATAGCGCCGGTAAAACTCTGCGAAACAGGAAGGTGCAGTTTCCCAAACACACTGGTAGACAGGGCGCGCGAAGACTTGCTTGCGGGCACACGGGGTGTCTTACACGGGGTGCCTTGTTTTTGCGGGCCCTTTCGTTGGGTTGCTCCACAAAGGACGCAGGGAAACTGCAAGTTTGAGGGACTTTAGCATTGAGATCCCGGGGTAGAGGACACTGTGAAAAGGTGCTTCGGAATGCAGGTGCTTCGCAGCAGCGCCACAAGTGCAGCGTGGACACCTGCAGGAGCTACAATGTCGCGCACAGCACGGAGATGACCGAGGCTTGGACAGTTCTCCTTGTTGAGAACACGCAGCGCAGTCGCGCCACTGCACAGGCGCTGATACAGCGCACGTTCCAAGGCCAGTTGCTGCCGCAAGCCTTGAGGTGTGATGCTTGTGGGGGCCAGAAGGACGTTCTTCAAGAGTCCAGGCCTTTGTCAGCGCCAGAGGTCTTGATTGTAAGTTTCCCTCGAAACGGAAACGGCCACGTGGACCCGCACACAGGGCGATGGTGCAAGAATGAGCGCGAGGTGGACTGCACAGGGCCAGTGGAAATCAACGGCACCTTGTACAGGTTTGTAGCATTAGTGGAGCATATTGCTTTAGATTGTGGTGATGCTGAACAGGGGCACTTTGTGACATGGACCATGGAGGGTGGTAGCTGGCTCCGGTACGATGACACTGCGGTGACACGAATGTCTGCTTTGCCGAAGAAGGTTGCCAAGAGCGTGGTGCTGGCTGTGTACGAGACTTGCGTCGTGACTAGCTTTGCGACAGAGCAGGCTGCGACTGGGTCAGTTGCTGATATGACACCCACAGACCCTGCAGCCAACGCGGAAGAGAATGCAGCAGGAAGCATTGCCCCCGCAACGACAGAGCTGGCGTCCACTGTCCTGGACTCGCAGGCTGGGGAGGCACTGCAGTCAACAGCAGGGGTGGACGCAAAAGCGGAGAGCCTTGGCTTGCAGACCTTGCCCTTTGCGGAAACCGCTGATGGCACCCTGGAGTTCGAAAGGGATGTGGTCGCTGCCTTGTCCATCTTCCAAGCCGGTGAGGATGTAGCTGCTTTTCTCGCGAACCTGCCGGCTTACAGCGTGCGATCCTTAGCGGGCTTCAAATTGCGAGGGCGGTCGACGTTGGGGTGGGGAATTGTAAGAATGGTGCGCATGGCTGCCTGCTCGCAGGGTGGAACCACACGAAACTGGGTAAAGAAAAAGCATCCAGAGTGTTGCTTGCTATGTGCTTAGGCAGAGATTTTGGCAATGGAGCAAGCAGACGTGAAGGAGCAGTTGCCTGCTGTGATTGCCGGGTTTGAAGCTGATGAGTTTGGCGGGAAGCAGGCAGTGGAGCTGCAGTACCCGCTGTGGCGGACAAGTTTTTACCCAATCTTGGTCCTCATGGAGGCATGGAGTCGGAGCACTGGCATGCCGACCGTGTTCTACTACGATGCTTTCTGCGCGCTTCTAATGGGTCTGCTCCACAAAGAGATCTGCGTGGATGTGGCGGGCTACCCGTGTCGCAGCCGATACTGGGCCATTGGCACAGCGCGCCCTGGAAGCGGGAAGAGTCCGGCAGTGGACCCGATGGTTGAATGCCTTCGCAGCGTGTTGCAAGAGAATCTGCACCTCGCAGCTGGATGTGGCTGGGACAAGTTTCATTTGTTAGGTCCGGGCACGCATTGTGCGGCTGTCGACAAGCTAAAGGTGACAGATGGCTACGCCACGCTCATAGCTGGTGAAGGCGGCCCTTTGCTCTGCCCATCCTATCCTCAAAATGGCACTTGGAATCAATCCACATCAACTTTTCCAGGTTCTTGGACAGCGCTACAGCCATTGACCGCAAGGCCAAGAAAGAGTCGGCGGAGGACAAGGTTGTGCCGGTCAAAGGTGTACCCTTGCAGAAGACCAACGTAACCTTTGCTTTGCTGCAGCAGCTGTCCGTGTGGCAGAACTGGTGGGTGGCTAGCGAGGTTCGTAGCCAAATTGGTTTGCTGCAGCGGTGCATGTTCTCATTCGGAGCTCTCCGGGATCCAGGCCCGCCTCGCCTGCAGGGCTTTGAGAAGCAGGTGGTGATGCCCATTCTGCGCCGCATCTTTCAGTCTGTGCTGAAGTCAATAGGTTGCAAGGCGTCGATGGCTATAGATGCGCCTCCAAACGCACTTTTTTTGGAGAGACGTTGGCAACTGGACTGCACAAGGCGCCTTATTGGGTTAGCACAGTGGCTCTTTTCGGAACTTTGATGGAGGAGCTGTGGCCCCTTGCGTGTGGGTGCCTGGGCCGCACTCACGTGCCGTAGGTAGGGTTCGGCTGGGAAAAGTGTCTATAGCTCAGGACCAAGACAACCTTGCCAACGTGGAGTGGCCAGCTGAGCGCGGAGGGGCTGAAGATGGCCACACTATGCTTTCAGGAGAGATTTCTGTACGGCTTGGCTGTCTTGGAGGTGGATATGCGCAAGCATGGTCGTTCAGCGCGGCGCACGCCGAAGCCATCTGTAGCAGAGGCCGTGGGTTCAATTGGGTTCAATGCACGCAGTCGGACATGCTAGCCTTGACAACCACAAGACACGACCCATGTAAACTGCATGAAAACTCGAGTGCGGAGTGGTTGATGTGTGGTTGGGCGCACGGCAGGGCGTGGAAGCGATGGGGGAGCTCCTTCGCACCTTGGTGGGCTCAGGGTGGCGCGCAGAGTGGACGCGGCGGTGCGGCCCGCCCTTTCGCAACTTGCCGGCCCCGCTATGGAAAGAAGGCCCGTATGAGGAGGTCATGGCGCTGTTAGCGGAGTGTGGGCTTGGACAAGTGCGTGGGCAATGCTTCGACAATGGGCAGGAGCTAGTCTTTGTCAAGTTCGCCTATTCAGTGTTGCCCAAGGAAGCCAAGGATTCGCTGAAGGAAATGGGCGTGCCTAGCTGGTCATTTGGGCCACCCAAAGCGGAAGCGCGTTATTGTCTGCAACCAAGGCACGGAGTTGTGTTCTTGTCTCGGGCAGTGTCTCGCTTCGAGGCGAAACTTTGCTTACCAGCCTCAGGCAGCTTTGCAGCGAGAAGAAGGCGCAGCCGAAGCCGGCTATTGCTCCAAAGAGGCTGGGAGAGCGCATGCTCCAAAAGGCGAGTTAGAGATAGGAGGGGCAGGCTGGAATTGTTCTTCTCTGCATTGAAAGTGACAGGGTTTGCTGAACCGCTGTTCACAGGCAAGTGTACCTTCATTGCAAGTTAGTTCGCTCCACCACTCATCTTTCAGACAATGGTCAATTGCGGCTGCAACCATGATGGGAGAGAGCTTTGAACACTAATATGATTTCGTGCGATTGAATGACTATTTTGTGGGTGCACCCAGCATCACCCAGCTTGGAAGGTCAGCGACGACGCCGACTGTAAAAGAAGGAGAGCCGCCTTGCGCGCCAGAGGAGGGCTCAAGCACACCAGCGGAGAGTTGGGCGATAATCTTTCACGGGAAGCCGTGCGATGGCGCAGATGTGGCAACCTACACAGGCTTGCGGAAGGCAGTGGAGCGTCTTCTTGGACGGCGGAAAGACCAAGGCATTTACACCTTCCATGAGAAGCAGTTGAAGAGGGACGGCAAAACGTTGCTGGGGATCTGCCAGCAAAGTGTGTGCGCCGGCTGCGCACGACAGGTGAAGGCAACCCTAACCTTCGAAGAGAAAGGGCCGCTGCTTTGCGTGGAGCAAAAAGGGTGCCATGGAAACTGCAGCCCCCGCGCGGCGGCTGCTTGTGGACATGCGAAGAGGCGTGCGCTTTGGAAGGGCTGGAGGAGAAGCGGCCAAAGGTCATGTGCGAGAAGCCTTGAAGGCCCAGAACTTGAGCCTACGATGCAGCAATACTCAACTGCACAACTTTGTAGTGCGATTCAACAACGCAGGCCCACCACGCTCTGCCAAGAGCAAGGTGACGTTGAGCGAGCTGCAAAACGCAGCGCTACAGCACACGTGCCCCAACATGGAGGCCTGGCAGACTTGGAAGGTGTCGCAGCTCCTTGTCTTGCCGTCTTCAACCTTTGAGGCGGACAGGATCTGTGTGATGTGGACCTGTCCGGGCATGCTGAGACACGCTCAAGCTCTGCAAGAGAAGGTTGTGAAGCTTGCAGTGGACGCAAAGCAAAAAGTTGTTGCCAACGAGTACGGCATTGTAACTTTGTCCTTCTTGGTAAGCAGTGCGGTGCCAAGCAAGACGTGGGCCGGGGCCACGCACACCAAGTCCACTTCGGCGCACACAGCAACACAAGAGCCATTCCTGCAAGCGTTGGTGGACACTGAGTCAGAGGCCAGCATGACCCAAATTTTCACGGAGGCGTGCGAGCTGGCTGAGAGGCACTGCGGCCTGGACCTCCGCGCGCAGGTTTGGCAAGTTCATAAGGACTACGCGAAAGGCATCGAGGCCTCGCGCCGCAAAGTGTTTCCTTACGCACGCCCATGTGATGACTATGCTCACATGCGGCGAGCAACCTACAAGGGCATGCAGAAGTACTTGCCGGCCAAGAAGACCCCAAAGGTGAAAGCGCCGGAACCTCAGTTTGTCACACAAGCAAGAGCAAGCAAGACAAACAGGCTCGTGTTGTTGCAGTTGTAGAATTGTGCAGATGTGTACCGAGAGCAAGCGCCGTCAACGCAGGACACCCAAGAACAAGGGCAAGAAGCGGGGCGCCTCGTCAAGCCCGGAGAGACCTGCCACGCCGGCTGCAGATTTGACAAGCACGCCGGACGGGAGCACCTTTGGCTACTGGGAGAAAATTGTCCAGATTAGCCGCGAGGTGCCGACTGTGCAATTGTTCGATGCGGTCTGGCAATTGGCCTTCCCGTGGCTACGGAAGAAAAGTGCGCAAGCTGCAGAGTACTTTCAGCACACGTACTGTCAGAAAGTGCCAGTTGGCAGTCTGCAGAAAGGCTTCAGCTGCACTTCTACAATTTGGGGGGCAGAAGGACTTTGGTTCAGTGGCTTCTGGGGAGGGATCTTGGGAACTACCCAGGCAGTAGCTCAGGAACGCAAACACTGGAGTCCTTTCATGCATACTGGCAAAGCAGCATCAAGGCCAAAGCAAGGCTATCACCGACAGAAATCTTTGCCTCTATGCAACAGCTGTTTGAAAAAGATTGGGCATCCAGGTTTGCATGGGAGGAGGAGAAGACTTTCGTGACATGGCCCGCCCGCTCCGCAGATGCATTGTTCAACAGCAAAAGCCTGCGGTCCGCGGGCAGATCCCCTGCGAGGGATTTTTGGGAGCATCGGGAGCCGCGGCTGTGTGGCAATCGCAACTACCGCCAGGTCTACATCCGCACTGGGGAAGCAGGCGGAACCGATGTGGACGGTGTGACAACTTTCTGGGTTCTGCAAAGCAGACTGCAGGGAGGCGTGATGCCTGCAGAGGCGGTCGTGACGCCGCAAGTGGCCAAGATGGTCGCAAACCTCATAGCTTCCGAAGGCCCGCAGCTCGAAAAATGGTTGTGCAAGGCTGGCATTGCCAAGGATGGGGAGTTGGAATTGAAAGCGTTGCAGAAGTACATGCAGCAGTACTGCGCAGTGTTGGAGGGGCATCTTGCACAAGCTTCCTGGCCCCGCGTGCGCCGCAAGCTGAAGAAACCAGTTCCAGGCAAGCTGTGTACATGCCGTGAGTTCTTGCTACATGGAGATTGCGAACATGTGCTTTATGTCAAGGCGCTGCAAGATGACCCCACTGCTGACATGCGGAACATTCCAACCCAACGACGCCGGGGACGCAAACGCAAGACCTGGTGAAGAAGCCACTTTGCCACACGCCTGCGAAGCCATTTGGCCACATGCCCCGTGAGAAAAAGGCAGCGTAGTTTCATTGAAGCAAGTGTGCTACACCTGCCTTTCCAAGCTTTGCAAATACGCATGTCTTCCCCTTTGCGGCTAGGCGGTGGGTGCGGCATCACGTCGAGAGCCCGGTTGCGCCAAGGTGCACCAGGCCCGGTCAGGGCGGTCGGGGTGGATGGGGCAACACTGTGAAGCAACAAGGGGAGCGGCTGCCGGCCAAAGAACGTTTCTCCGAGGGAAGCAGTTGGTGTAGGCTTCGGTCAAGGCAGCAGAGTGTGCCTGTGTGTGTGTGCCCTGCAGCTGTCTTCCTTTAGCTCAGTGCAGCTGTGGAAGGCTTCGGTGCAGCTGTGGAAGACTTCGGTGCAGCTGTGGAAGACTTCGGTTGGAGCCTTGAGCTGCGAAAGCCTTTTGTCGCAGGTCTTGGTGAGGCAGCAGTGCGTGTGTGTGTGTGTGTGTGCGCTGTGGCTGTCTTCCTATAGCTCAGTGCAGTTGTGGAAGGCTTCGGTCGCAGGCCTCGGCGAGGCAGCAGTGTGCGCGCGTGCAGCTGTGTTCCTTATCGCAGCTTAGCGCAGTTGCCGAACGCTTCGGTTACAGGCCCATCAGGGCAAAAGGCAGAGGGGTTAAAAGGCAGAGGGGTTAAAAGGAAAGGGTAGAGGGTTGGAAAGAAAGGGGGGAGGGTTAGAAAAGAGGGGTGCGAGGGTTGAAAAGAAAGGGGGGAGGGTTAAATAAAAAGGTTTGAGGGTTAGCAAAAAAGGGAAGGGTTGAAAAAAAAGGTTCGGAGGGTTGAAAAAAAAGGTTCCCCATGTTGGTCCTCCCGTAGTGAAGGTCCAAGCTCGCCCGGCTCGAGTTAAGATAGCCAAGCACATAAACAGGAGAAGAGTGTGTTTTGGTAGCAACTGCCAAGTGGATATGTGTCAAAGTAGGTACCGTTTCGGAATGACTGAACAAAGCATCAAGCATGCACTTGCGAGGGGACCTAGCTTTGAAGCATGTTTGTGTTGAGCATAGATGCCATCTGCGTCTGCAAGCGTAGATGTGTCTTTCTCCGAACGCTTGCCCCGTTTCGCCCGCCCAAGTATTGGTAGCACCGTGGATGCGCGGCAGTGACATTTGGACGCCCTCCCATTTGTTTCCCCCCCAGCAGCATGTCTCATGTCATGAGTTCTTCTTTCGGTTCTTCGAAGTCAGATGGCAGAACCCAAGCCCACGATCGCCAGCTGCTTCCCACAAGTACTCCCCAAAGTAATTGGGCAGCTTTCTTGTTCTTTCCGGAATCAAGGGTTTATACAAAAAGGGAACTGCATCATGTTCGCGTAGGCAATTTAGGTGGGGGGCGCAGGCTTGCGTACGCATTTCGTGTGCATCATTGTTTTTTTTCCCTTGCGTAAGCGCCCGCGTAGGCAAGCCTGGGATGATACATCATGGAGCTGTGCATGGGTTTTCAAGGTTTCACAATGGTTGGGAGAGTGGCTACATGGTCGCGCAAGCTCCTATCGCTCAGAAGGTCAGGCCTGGGCTTTTCAAAACAGAACGCCTCCATTCGCATAGGCTCTGCGTAGGCTCCGCGTAAGCACCCGGGCTCGAGGCCCATTTCGTGTCATTGTCTCTTTCCGGGCGCTCGTGTTGAGCTTCCCGTTGCAGCCTGCAGCTTAAATGGTGCGCCTCGAGAACTACACTTCGATTTTTGGAGCTGGTGCAAAGTGAGTGTCGCGTGTTACGGTTAAACAACTCACAAGCCTTGCGGCCCAAGAAAAGGGGCCCAGGTTGACATTCATGCGTGTATTTGGGACTCGACAACAACTGACCCGGGCCGAGGCTGCGCTGGGTCGCTTGGGCGGCAGAGCAGCTCTAGAGGAAGCCCTGAGGCGAATGCAAAGATGGGGGGAGGGGGGGGACTCACTCGATTTTTGTTGTGCAAAATCCGCATTCACCGAGCTTCCCATCCCTTCTTGGGGGGAACAGGTAATTTGACAGTATGTGGGTGCCTTTTTTTGGTAGCTATTTTTGGGCGGTTTTAAAGAGAACAAACAGGAAAATTCATACAAGGGGGTTCCTTACATAATTATTCTGAGACAAACCAACATGAGCAAGTGCCTGAATAAGTGGTAGTTTGCTGATATGGGGAGGACACATGGGGGGACCCAAATCTGCTTCATCAGAATAGACCACGTCACGTCACCCTGGAGATGTTGTCTTTTCCCCTTCAAGCCAAGACAGCGGTCCAGGTCCCATGGCTTTGTTACGTTGACATGTCGGGCACGCCCAAAGGCATGTTTTTGGCGAATGTTGTCCAATCTGGTGCTGTCCCGTGCTAGGAAGTGGCCTTTTTGGTAACTGCCAGGCTGAGTTGGTTTTGGCTTCAAGGTCCCCAAAGTGCCGAGTGAGGATCCAACTCTGGCTCAATCTGTGAGCTGTTCTGGTTGGTAAAACATCTTTGACTCAACGCCCGTGCCAGGACAGCCCTGAGGATTCTGCAAACACGGGCCCCACAAGTCACGGGATGCGGGATGCTGGCGGTACCATGTCGCCAGGTCGGATCCCGACCCGAGGGTCCGCGAGGAGTCAGCGCGGAGCTTGGCGAGACTTGGTCAGCCGCGACCCTGGCAGCGGCTGTTTGGGCGTGGCTCAAAATTAAGGAGCTGGGGCAAACCGCAGGTTTTGGTCTTTGGTTCCATTTACCTTTTGGTGTCATTTTGGTACATTTATTTGAGCCACAGCCATAGCTATGTTTCCCTGTCTCTGTTGGTGGCTCATGCTGTGCAACTGCTTGCTCAGGTGATTGCCTCGTGGCCCCGTTTTGGCAGCAAGACATTGCCGACATTGCTTTTTTTGAACACCTGGACATCCAGTTTGAATGGCACTTAGTTTCTTCGTGGTTGTTCTTCTCATCATCTCGTAATGAATGCAAAGACAGCATGTTGAACTTGCATCCGCAGAAGCGTAGACACTATCGATTTCCAAGTTCTTTAAACTAATCATGTACGAGCGATCAAGATGAACCGCTCACTTTCGCGCGCGGCGATCAACTCATCGTGTTTTCTGCTGACAACGCCGACTGCTGAATTTGATCTCAAGTGCGTTTGAGGGAAACCCATGCTTTTTCGGTCCATGGCCCACCCAAAAAGTCGGCTTTCTCGGCTGAGGTCGGAGGGAGCTGAAAGCTGCGCCTATGCCCTGGCAGCCGCCTTGAAGGCCCACGCGCGTTGAACCTCATCTTAAGCATCCAAAAAAGGAGTTCCCTGTGTTTAGCTCCGCAATTCGTCTGCCGCCTGAAAACTATTCGACACATTCCAGAGGTTCTAAACCCAAACGACCGCTGTAGGAAGAAGCATTGACTTCGGAAACCACTTCCAACCAGAGCCCCAAATTTCCAGTTCCTCAAAGAGGCGTTTCCTCTGCAATCCTTCCCAGGTGCCTTTTTTATCGTTTTTTTTTCCTTCACGACCGAAGTCAGACCCTTTTCAGCTGAACCGTGCCCGGCCACTTGGCGCGACCGGATCGAAGGACGCAGATGCGAAGGTCCGCGCCGCGGCCATCGCGGGCTTGGGATCTCAGGCCTCGGCGCGGGGTGCCCAAAGCGACGACCGGGCGGTTCTCGTTTCTTCGGCGCATTTTGCCAAGGGCTGTTAGGACTGAACGACTGGCTGTTGGGGACCGAACCACTTTTTGGCCAACGAATTTTTGGGTTTTCCGTACCAAACCACTAAAAGTGAGTCAAACTTTTAGCAGGGGAAAGCAAGCGAGGTTTGACACTTCCCCGGTGAGTGACTCTTCTTTTTTCTTGCTGCTCAGAGAAGGAATGATTCCGAACTAAACCGTCCAACTGGAAGATTCCTTCCAGCTGGAATCCCTGGAATCATTCCCACATTCCCTACTGAGCACCAGCAAGTTGTGTTTGGGGGGAGGCAACCCCAAGATAGACTTAAACCCAGGGGTTTCCGGTTTCCCCTTTTGGGGAAATCAACACTGGGTTTAAGTCCGCTTTGGGGTTGTCAAAAAAACGAACCCTGCGATGGGGTGTGAGCTCTTCATGTTCAATCTGATGGAATCATGCCCTGCTTCACCACGACTCACAAGCTGATTCAATCAAGGCCCCAAGGCTCTAAGTTTATTATGTTTTTTGGTATGAGAATGCCAATTGTGTGCGTTGGTACATGTGGAATCGAATTCACACACACACATGCACTAAAGTTACACATGTACCGTGTTCTACATGTGATGTACCGTGCATGTGCATTGGTCCACCGTGTTCTACATCCACCAAAGTTACCTGCTTGCCTACGTGCCGGACTAGTATACTGCACCCCAATGCACAGCACTGCACATGGGAACTGCTGCAGTTCGGCGCTGTTGCCATTGCAGCTTCTTCAGTAAAACATTTGAGGGTGTGTTTTTTTTTGGCGGGTAGCCCTTGTTTGGTGATTTTAAAGGGAAACCATATGCTAAAAACGCATTTATGCTTCTGTTTTTGAGGGGGGGGGAGAGGTCAGGGTCACAAGATTTGACATTTTACATAAAGGAATCAAGGCCAAAGAATCAGTGCCCGGATTATGTCTTTCTCGCACTTGTTTAGACCTTATTCCGTCTCAACAACATAGACATCCAGTCTCTTGCCACGAGGCCGCGTTGGCATACTTTCCAGCACTACGTTGCCTAGTTGGAGGGCTTCAGGATTGCAACCCGCGTATTCGTGGCCAAGCACTATGGCTCACTCTCGCAATGACCTTCTTACTGGCAAGTCCCGCAATGCCCCCGAAAATGCAGCGCATCTCCTGGAATGTAGACATGGGTAGCTCTGTCTCGACACGCGCGCCAAGCATGCCTCCAACCTGGAGACTGCGTGGCCGCATCCGAACAATAGCGGCTGAGCAAAGCGCTGCAGGATCCAACCACCGAGGGTGCGCACGTTGATCATGGAAGGCATGCTAAACCACACGGCGAGACATAGTCACAGCCAAGCAACATCTGTTTGCTTGTGACGAAAGCAGCCGTAGCATTGGTTTTTTTGTTTGCCCTCCAGGCACACGAGGCGCCAAAAAGAGGTTCGAAGACTTGGCCCCTTCCCCGGCGCAGCTGGCAAGATGGCGGGTTGTCAAGTTAGCTCCGCGCCATTTGTCATTCTCGCACTTTGAGCATGGCTTTGCAAAATGATCGGCGTATTGCAGGCTGTCGCCGCAATGGCCAGGTTTGGGCAAGCGGCGGTGGTAGGCCGGCAGCAGTGCCCGCGTTGGCTGCGCGAAGGGCCTCACCATAGGCGCGGATCGGTCTCGCCTGGCAAGGAAGAAACAAGGCAAAAAGCCACCGCACTGTGTCGCCTAGATACACATGCAAACTGCTGTCTGTGGGGTGGGATAAGGCGTATGGATCTGGAGGAAGACCGCGCATTGAACACAACAGGCGGGCGCGTGTGTAAACGTGTGTCAGAAGTGGGGGTTGAGCGAGAGGGGGCGGGCGAGAGCAAAGCCACCTATACTTGCGCGGGCGCTCAGCCGCACGAGAAACTGGATCTTCTGCACCAAGTTTGACTTGAATCACTAACCTGCCTGTGCTCCCATACCCATCACAAGTAGAGGAATGCCCTTGTGCAAGTGAACCCGTAACTCAGCAGTGACCGCTGTCTTGTCTTCGACTTCGCTGGCCAAGCTTGCGCAGCCAAAGTCGTGGACTTTCCGTTTGCAAGCAGTGGCCTGCCACTTGTGTCCAGCTTGAGGCTGCTCACAAGGGAGGGTCCGGTCAAGTTGGTGGCGCCGTAGTGCGCAGATCTCTGACAGGCAGACGGAAAGCCTGGGTTAACCACGTGTGGGGGGGGGAGGTTATCACAGCAACCTGCGATTTTTTTGGTCAAACGGGGGTCCCTTCTGGGGGACCCCCAAAAAACCAGTGTAGGGCCTACACTGGTTTTTTGGGGGTCCCCTGAAAGGGACCCCCACATGATTTCAGGTTGCAAAAGACGTGCAGATCAGCTGTAGGTCCCTTGGCAGGGGACCCCCAAAAAACCAGTGTAGGCCCTACACTGGTTTTTTGGGGGTCCCTTGCAAGAGACCCTCGATTGTCCGAAAAAAATCAAAGGAGCCGCCAGGTGGCCGCGCCTGCGCTGTGGCTGTTTCTCTTTGCGCCGGTTGTTTCTGAGAACCAGAGGTGCGTTGCCAATCGCAACAAAACGGAGTGTGGCGCGAGCGTCTCGCATTTTCTGCTGCAACTCCGCGACTCAAGCCACGGGGAGCGAAGGCGCTACACGCCTCCGATGTGGCCGCACACCGGCGGACCAGGCAAAACTTTTCGTAATCGTGCAACACAGTTTGAATTGACTGGGGTTCACGCCCAAGCTGGTCTGCAACTGAATGTATCTCCAGCTGCGCTGCCCTTTGCCTCACTTGTGACACAAAATCCTACAAGCAAACAAACCACACTCGCTGCGCTTGTACGACGTTAAAGCAAGCAGAGGGACATGTCTGCAGAATGAGCCGGAAGCTCTAAAGCACTGACACTTGAGAAATGGCCTGCGCCGTTTCCGAAAACAACGAAGGAGAACCACAGGAAAACAGCGTCCAAACCACAACTTCCCTGAAAGCAAAGCGAGCTGCGTCGCAATTGCCACGGGACACCTACGGTCCCCCTATTCTGCCAGGTCCTGCTTGACATCACTTCACGGGAAACACTTGTTGCGAAGTGACATTTCGTTTGGCAAGGCTTCTTTCAGCTTGTTGGATGCTAAGGTGGAGGCAGGCGCCCGGCGCCCCAGGCGCCCGGCGCCCCGGGCACCCGGCGCCCCGGGCACCCGGCGCCCCAGGCGCCCGCCGCCCCGGGGCGCCCCCCGCCCATGGCGCCCGGCGCCCCAGAGCCGGCAGAACTCAAAAGATTTCTGCTCTGTTCAAATGGCTTTCAAACCCACGCTTGTGTTTGGGGCGCCAGGCAAAGGTCCACGTGAGTGCAAATGCAGGCACGACCCCCCGCTTTTGGGAGATTCTCGGGTGTCTCCAAGCGTAGTTCTGCATCTACGTGGAAGCCAAGACACAGCTTTGCGCTGTCAGCCAGAACAAGCCTCAACTCCCGCCGCCTCCTGACTTCGTCCTGGTGACAAACTCCAGAGCGACACAAACAACTCAATGTCTTTGCCTCTCGGCATTCCGGGACTGCCTCGTCGCACAAGCAGCAATTAATGCTGGCCCTTCCTGCAACTGATTGACGCTGAGCGGGTGGAGTTACTGACTTGTTTGAAGACGCAGGTGAGAGCAAATTCGTTTAAATCAGTGCAAGCAAGGCACGTCATGGAAATACGTTCTGCCAGATGAATCTGGGATGCGCGCGGCAAAAAAAAGGGATCTGGCCCGCCCTTGATGGTTGGCCTTGTTTAATGTCAAACCTTGTGACCCTGTAGGTCCCTGAAAAAAAATACACCCATTCTGGGATGCATCGCTTTCATAGGAACGTGAGAGGGAGCCTTTGCTCTCGCCTGAGGCGAGAGCACGCTGGGGACTTGGTGGAGCAGCTTCTGACCGGAGACGATGCAGCCAGTCAGCATGAGTCAATCGGCGGCTTGAAGCTTAAGCCCTGTGGATGTTGCAGTCTGTAGACTCAGGTGCCTTTTTTGGGTGGTTGTCAATGCCTTTTGGCGTGTCCCGCAAAAACCACCAACCCAAACCACCAATGAAGGTCAACCTGAACCATCATGGAAGGCCATCGCTGCTTCTTGTAGGGGGTAGTTGGGGGTCACCACTCCATTTCACCACCAAACCACCCTTTCGGCCAACCAACAAACAACCAAGGAAGCTGAATGGTTCTAATGGAACATAAGACGTCCGAGGACATCAGCGGGGCCGTGGGCCGCTTCTTCCAAGACGCCACCAGCGGTGCCGCCACTGCCCTGGTCGCTGCTGCCTTTGGGCCGGCTCAGGAGGCCTTTCGACGCGGGAGAAGTCAGCTTGAGATGGCTACGAATTTCGAACAAAATAGGTATGGGTCAAAGTTCTACCACAGGGGACCGCAGGTTTTAGTGCTGGTGTCCTTTTCTAGGGTTCGGTTTTGGGCACCTATTTTTGACCCACACTCAAATGGGCGCCTGGACATCAGTTGCTGGGATTTACGGATAGGGGTTCAACCGCAAAAAATAGGGGGATCCTTTCAGTTTCAATTCATAGATTGAAGAGAGGCTTTTGGAGCCCCGCATCATGGGTCCTCATTAGAATGCTGCGAAGGGCTCGTTTGGTGTCCATTCCTGGTTTCCTTCAGGCCCTTCCAGTTTCCCCCATCTCCTTCCGCAAGGGGAATTGTTGGTTTCCTCGACTTCTACCCAAAAGTCGTTTACCCTCTTTTCAATCACCCGAAAAACAAACACTTCAAATATCCTGAAGCATGTTATTTGTTCAATCGCCCAAAATACCAAAGACTTCAAAATCTCCTTTTTAGCTCCACCAGACCATTGAATCACACGCCCAGCCCCCAGCCCCCAGCCCCCCTCCCCAACCCAGCCCCCCTCCCCAGCCCCCCCCTCCCCCCCCGTGGCGCCTTTCAGGCGGTGCGGGAGCTTCATGAGATCTCTGAGTGGGCGGCCGCCATCGCCCAGAAGGTCTGGCGTTTGGCGGCGGACCTCAAAAGCCCCCAGGACAGTCGGGTCGAACGGCTCGATCACAGGGGGATCGGATCGGAGCACCGAGGAAGTCGGAAGCAAGTTTGAGTCGGAAGTTAATTGGCAGAGTATCTCTGGAAAAGGACCCTTGTTGGTTGACCCCTTTTCGGTTGACCCAAATCAACATGAGAGTGAAGCAACCCCGGAGAATTGGAGGTTCAGGGACAGTCCCCTGGCGTAAATGGGGGCGGAGATCCGCCTTTTCAATTCTTCACATTCTGGCTACACCATGTTCATGCCAGGTGTTGATTATGATTCTTAAATGAGCAATTTAAAAGTCTGTGAACATGGTCCCTTTTCTGGTGGACCCCCTTTTGGTTGGTTCTATTCAAATCTCAAGTGCAAGACCTCAACCCAATGTGCGAATTGCTGAGAAGACCAGGCTTCAGGTACTTGACCGTGTCATCAAATCATCCGCCCTTCAAAAGCCGTAGTAGACCACCAACCTAATTTTGCGTGTTTAGTTTGAGGAGTGAGGGGGGGGGGGGAACGTCGTTTGGAAGGGAGTCCTGTCAGCGAATACAGGTGCCGGATTGCCGGATGTCAGTGTCAATCGCTCGCAGGCGAGTGTGTCGGCCGAGCGCTATCTCACCCTGCTGGGCCCAGCTGCCGGCATTTGCTTGGCCAGCGAGGCGGGTTTTGTGCATATCTGGGAAAGCAGGACGGCTGCTTAAGACCTGCGGGAAAGGGTCTCCCTAGCACGGCATGCAAGGACCCAGTCGAGCTCCATGTTTTCGGTAGTAGTGGATTGCTTTGGATCGGTGTCCCCAGAACTTCGAATTGGCGACCTTGATCAACAAGGTTTTGGAAATGAGCAAATATGCCGCATTGCGACCTGTTGAGGTACACCAGCAACGGTGCCTTGTTGCCGCCCCTGACAGCAGCAGTCGAAGCTACTATTTGACAGAGAAAATTATATTTCAAAATAAAACATGGAAGTGACAGGGTTTTGGAAGACCAGCCTCTTGAAAAGGCCCCAAACCCTCAAACATCCACCAAAAGCAAGCCGCAGAAGCGCAGGTCATCAAAGCCAAAGCAGTGGACTTCGCCCCTCGCATGGCAACCATCCGAGGCGTGCTGGCAGAAGCGAGCGTCGTTCAGCCATCATGGGTGCGTCTGAAAATTTAAGAGGCACCAAAAAACCGCAGGTTCGAAACTGCTTTTCCATTTGCCAGGGTTCGATGTTCACATGCAATACAACGGGTTTTCCCTGCAAGGGACATGTACCATGGGCCAATTAAAGACGTGCACTCGACTGCCCTCACATCTCTTGCCGATTCCTGCCTGAGCTGCTGGTCACCAGATACACAAAATTATGTTTGTTTATGTAGTGTAAAGGCAGGCGGCAGGCTACCAAACTATCCACGGTAGCTGCTGAAGGGGCAACAACCAGGAAGGCGCATAGTCAATGAACACAATGACTTTGCTGGAATGGAAGGGTTCGAACGCGACGGCAGGCAATGTCACCTGTTGAACACACGCTGATGCACAAAATTCGGCACCAGGTGGGATGAATGCATACTGAGACCCCCCCCCCTCAACAGCACCACGTTGCAAAGCGGACTTTGTGAGTCCACCATATGCAAAATGTCACTTTGGACCACGTGCAGGGCTCATCTCCTGCTTCACCCGGCCCCTGGACAAAGCCCAGCTACCAGACCTGGCATGTGCTGCGCCTTGGCAAGGGCACAGTTTCTGCCGACACCCCAACTCAAAACAGGCCACCTCAGCAGGTTCCACAACCTGGTTGTGGGCTTTCGGATATGAGCATCCGGATGCATCCACCCGCATCAAGAGATTTTGACTTGTGACAAGGATGGAATTCTAGGGAGGACATCTCTGTATTTGCCGAGGATCCTTGAGTTGTTGCCGGGAGGCCGGCTGTGGTTGCATACCGGCCGACTTTCTTTGTACCATTTTGCCAGTGCTGAGAGTGAGATTCCTCGTGAAACAAAACGCAAGGCGCTCTCAGAATGGATCTACGAGCCGTCTGTGGAGACCCTTCCGGTTCCAGGTGCGGTGCCGGGTGTGCGCTAGGCTACGTTGCTGGGCCATTCAAACGCCCAGATGGGCTAGTCAAGGCTGGTTGTTGGTATCCAACACAGATCATGATGACTCCTGATGGCCAAAGTCATCAATGGATGATAACCAATGCCATCATGTTTTGAGCTTGATCAATATGAAGATGGTAAACAAGCGTGAGCACCATCAACAACATTGTGGATGAAGGCCGCATTGATCCACCAGATATTCTGGTACTTCCTTCGGGCAGGACGTCCATTCCTGTGGTGGGGGATACCAGTGTTTGAGAGGCAAGAGGCATCCGCATTTTTCTTTCACAAGCGCGATTTTGCTGCGCCTTGCCCAGCTCGGTTGCCATTAAACAAAGCTTTTGGACGAAAGAGATGTCTCCGAGGGCAAACCGCATCTCCGAAAGCTGTTGCACAAGCGGGTTATTCAAAGTGAATCCTATCCTTAGCCTCCCACCCATTCACATGGAACCGTTCGGCCTTCGGGAAATCGGTCCTTCCATGTGAAAAGGGGAGGGTAGATGGGGTAGCCCTCTGCACATGCGGCTGTGGCTCAAAAAACCGGTACCCAAAATGGAACCCTGGGAAGTGGAAACATGGACTTCAAAATCTGCGAACGCCTCCTGTGTAACTTTGAGCCGCACCCACTTCTCTGACACAAAAAGGGTCTCCCAAAGACTACCACCCATTCAAAGAGGGGATTCCCTTGTATCACAGAAGTCGTTGCACACACCCCGAGTGATCCCACGACCCTGCTCTTGGTGTCCCACTTAAAGGGGCAGGGCACTTAAGTGAGTAATAACCACGGTTATAACCCACTTAGGAGACTTATGGTTATTGCCCACTTAAGTACAATGCCCCAAGCACGATGCGGATTCGGAGTTCCGATCGATTCCGACGCATCCCTTCGTCGTTTCGGCGCAGGCCTGGAGCTGGTGAAGCTGCAGCGGCCCGAGGAGCACCACGGCATCAACCTCCAGCAGCTCAGCGACACAAGCGACGGGGGCTGGGGGGGAAGCAGGGAATGCCCGAAGAAGTGGGGGGCGCTGTTTTTGGGTTGAACAAGTTGGGGAGCCTTTTTGTTGTTTGAAAACTAAAGTCAAAGCAAACGTGAGGGATGCCCTCCCCCCCTTTTTTTTTGGGGGGGGGGGAAGAACACCAGTGTTTTGGTCGGCGGCTTTTGTCGACCTTTTGCAATGTAGTCTTGAGCATGGTCAAGCTGAGCAATCTCAGCAATTGAGCACCTGGTGTTACGCTGGGCAACCGATGTCATGTTATACCACCTTGGCCTCACCACACTATGTGTCCAGACATTCCTGTTGTGCTCAGCCCACATCTACCCTAGGCCTCATCACGTTCAGTAGTCCAACATTGAAGTGCTTAACGGCTTTTGGTTGAAGCTTGAACATTCAGTCGTTCAGGGCTTGGCGGTGAACATTTAGCCATGTCTGGATCACTTTGAGTCTTCCCCTCAGCATGGATTGTTGCTTGCCTGGGCACACCTGCTTTCGAAACGCTGAATGCCCTTCAGATTGCGAGCACTTGGAAGGTAGGATCAGCACAGCACACAGGTCAGAAAACCAAAACTGGGCACCTAGAATTGAACACGGGTTCTCAATACTACTTCCGCGCGTGATTTCCACGTAAACCGCCATTTCAGTGACATTTGGCCATGAAGTTGAACAAGTCATTAGACATGAATGTCCCCACCTGCATGATGTTTATCCGGTAGGGTCCCTTTTTTATTTCAAGACACATACCCATACATACCCCTCTGATGTCGCCATGAACCCGGCGAGATTCTCCCAGACTCAGGTGGGCGCTTCTGCGGGACCAGTGGGGCAGCTGCTTCCTGGTCTTCCGGGGCTCCGAGACGGTGCTGGATTGGACGGAGAACAGCCGCCCGGCGCCGCCGATTTTTCGGCGGAAGCCGCGGCAAGCCGTTGATGTAGGATCTGATGAGCTTCGTGATTAGAATTCAAGAAGTCCAGAGAAAAAGGGAGTGTGGTTGTTCAAGTATCTCCGTAGAGACCCTCGCTGGATGCATTATGAGGATAGCAAGACGAGAGGAGCAGATTCACCTCATCAAAGTCATGCCCTTAGTGAACATCACCCTCAGGATGTTTCAGAGGGGACTTGGGACGCCTTGTGGGAGAGTTGAGCGCTACGTGAAGCCGTTCCACGTCAGACGAAGTGAGACATGATCAATCAGGCAAGTGCCAAATGTCAGCCTTCTGTTGCCCACGGTCAATAAGTATCTCCTATATGTCCCATGGGATCCTATGGGCAATGGATTGAGGATGACATCGGGAGAGTCACTCATTTGCCGTTTCGGCCATTTTGCCATGCCAAATCTGTTGACAATGGCAAGCTTTCACCGGGCATTGCCAGAAACCAACTACTGATTATAACAAAGGTCAGAATTCAGGCATCTCTTTAATGACCCTGACATGTGTTTGTTGTTTTGCGGCTGAGGCTACATGTCGTTGCGGCGGGTGAACGTGCCGAGCTGGCAAGGACCGCCTGTCTAGTGCCCACATTCCTAGCAGATACCAGGCATCCACCTGTAACCGGCCACAGCTAAAGCAGTCCGCTCTCTCATGAGACGAACGCATGCCGGACGTGTCGGACATGTTAACCATGTGTGTGTGTGTGTTCTGTTTTTGTTTTTAAACAGCGGGCTGAGAACGCTACTTGGATGGGCAGAAAGGTCGGAGGGCTGAAAGCGAGCGCGAGGGCTTGCGGAAAAGTCATGACCCGCGGGCCCATGGTTGGCTCGCAAAAGAGATCGCCTTTTCTGAAATAACACTTCAACACCAAACTGTTTGTGCACACATTCAACTTGCTGGTGCTCAGTAGGGAATGAGGGAATGACCTCTACAAACCGTCCCTTATGGCTTCCTTTAAGGGAATCCCTGGGTTCATTCCCACATTCTTTGCAGAGCACCAGCAAGACAATGATTGAGTATTGGGACATCAACCTGTAACGCGCTTGGTTCTGGTTCTCCGTTCGTTCAGACGCAAAGAAGAGGAGTGCTGCTGCTTCATAGCGGCTTCTGGAGTACAGCAGAGGCGCGTAGATGCAAGGGCAGGAGCAGTTTCCCCGTGCATTTACTGTGGGATGGAAAGTGGAACATGATGCCAGCGCAAAAGCCATAGATGGAATCCAGGAATGATGGTAAGGCTTCAAATTCTTGATGCCCTCCCGCTTTTCCCATCTTGAAGCCACCATCCCCCTGCTTGAATTAAAGACTGCGGGCCCCAACCATGGGATTACGGTTTTCCTTTGGTCAAAGTCAAGAAGGATCTCCAAAGACGACCCACGCAAGGCGGAGTCCGAGTGCCTGCGCCAAGCCATAGTGGAAGCTGCCGCCGGCGTGCCTTTTGCACCTTGGAACCAGTCCACGCACGAACTTGGAGATCCGCTTGATTCCCCGTAAAAGGCTCAAGAAGGCGTGAGCCTCCAAAACGTTATTTTTGAAAGACACGCCTTTTTCTGCTGAGTTGTGAGACAGCCGTGGGTGGAGGAGGAGAACCCAGTTGAAATCGGTGCCATCGATTTAATATCCACCAAACTGACTTGAAGAGAACACCTGTGAGCATATGGTTTTGTCCCTAATTAGTTGGTTCGTTAGAAGTTCAATTGCTCCAACGCCAAGCATGACTTTAGGCATGCAAGTACTTCGGTCGTCCATGTCAAGGAGAAGGGGTGAAGCTCATCAATTGGTCATGTCCCAAAACTAGTTCAACCCTCGTGGCCGGTTCGGGCTTGCCTTTCAACATTCCCAACTGACATTTTGGATGGACACGAGTCATCTCATCCGGGCATGACTTTTAGTACAAACACTATTTGGAGTAGACAACAGGTCAACAGATGTGCCTTAGTCCCACCCCTTTGGACGAGCTCAGGAGGAGCTGATCTTGTGTGGCGGCTCCAAGGGAGGCGCAAATGCGCTGGCTGCAGCCATACAATGGTGGCTTGGCACGCTTCATTCTGGCAAAAAACAGGTGGAACCTGGGCTGTGACATTTGGCCGGGATATGGCTCAAAATCCGACTGCAAACCGCAACTAGGTCCCCCAGCAGTGCCCTTCTCTCCCTTTTTTTGGGGAGGGTTCCCCTACTAAAGTAGACTACAGCACAAAGTTGTTACCCTTATTCTAACCTCTCTACTGGATGACCTAGGCAAAGGGAAGATGGGCCAAGACCTGCGGAGCTCAATCCTTGAGCCCAGGTCGCTGCCACTCACTGGCCGAGCCTGGCGCCTTGCCCAGAGCTCTCAGCCGGAGAGCGTAGATCTCGCGCAGCTCTTTCTTTCCTTGACCCCTTTTTGCTGGGTTTTAACGAGAAGCCAAGAGGAGCACCGACCAGGAGCTAGATATCGCGCAGTGCGTTCCAATGAAAGCCTGGCATTTGGGGGTCGTCATTTTTGAGGGCACACTTTTTGGGTGGGTTTTAACGGGAAGCCAAGAGGAGCGCCGAGGTCTAAAGCAAGACCCATTTATCGGGAACCGAGGCTCGATGACTTGCCGTGCCGCGAGTTGGTGGTGGCGCCTCGGTGACCCATCTTTTGTTTGGGCAAGGGACTGGTGTCTTGCAAAGAGAATCCCCGTATTTCTTCAAGTAGCCACAGGGACTTTTCTAATCTAGCACACAAAGGTGACACGTCCGGCAATATACATTTCATGGACTATGGATGGGTACCCACCTCTGGGACACAGAGTGGAGGCAAATGGCCTGCTACACAACAGCGGAATTTATTGAGTTGTTTTTGTTGTGGCTGCCCGCGTTTGTCAAGATGTTTGGGTGACATACTCAGCATGCGCCAATTTACTCGCAGTTGGCCGCATTTGGTCAAAAACATAGACTCTAGCAATAAAGCGATCATTTCGGCACGACCGACATCCTCTTGCAAGCTGGGATCTATGGTCTACTTGCTTCAGCTGCAGATAGCTCCCTGGCTGGGAGCCTTCCCTCTTAGCCTAACATGGGAGGGTAACCGTTTTGAGATGTTTTTCAAGGGATACCAAAAGGAAACTGAGGCCATTTTGGCGGTCGCCCTTTGCAAGGAGGTGCTGCCCCCGTCCTCAGACTCATTTAGATTTGTTCAAAGAAGAACCAGCCCAGGCGGCCCAGGGGACATGGGATTTATAGCCGACATCTGTACTCCCACTTCAAAGTTCACCAACTTTACAAATATAATTCATTTACACATATGAGGAGTTATGTTGATTTTCTGAGTTATGTCCACCAAGTATTCTGAGGATTGATTATTCATTCCATTGTGGCTCTGTTCTTCGCACTCAAAACTTCTCAGCAGAATGATAATTGGAATAACCCCAAGAAAAATCATCCCCTATGATTCCCGAATAGTTACCAAGGTTAACGCCACTTGGGACTCAAAAAGTGGGTTGTTGCCAATAGCTTACTGGCCGACCTTGGGGGCTTTTTAGGGAAGCCGGCATTGTCGGAGGTTGGAAACCAACACCAATTATTTGCGTGTATGTTTTTACAACAGTTTGAGGAGTTAAATGTCCGCAAGTACTCCATTATAGGCTGTTTTCTTCGCATTCAATGCTTGCTGGTTCTCAGCAGGGAATCAGAATTGGAATGAGTCCAAGAGAAACCATCCCTTATGGTTTCCGTTGAGGGACAACGATCACTGTTGTTAAAACTCGGGTATATCAAGGCTAGTAAGGGACAATCCCAACCATAAACAGCTGCGGCCGCTCCTAATTCTTGAAGCATAGTCGTGGGTCGACAAAAATTAATACCGGGTTTTTATTATGACTCATTTCCCGAAAAGGAAACCCCCTTCATTCTAGGGGTTGATTCCAATTCCATGCTTTTCAACCATCCTTCTTTTCAAAACCCAGGCTTTCAAGAATGGGGAAGCACGTCCCCTAGATTCATTCCAACTACAGATCCCCGTCCCCCGTGCCTTCCTTCCCCCCAACGCCCCCCCCCCCCCCCCCAAAGCCCCCAGCCCCTTCGCGTGCGCCGCGAGGTGACCTTCGGAGCGCCGAACATCGCGGGCAGAGGCAGCGGCCAGCCGGAGACCACCCGCGCGCTGGAGGAGCTGCAGGCGGCCTCTTGGAGCCAAAGGCCGCAAGCGGGAAATCGGGGCAGCGGGGGATCGGGGGAGGCGCGTGGTCGTTTTGGGTTCCCTTAAAGAAAAAAGACATATATGTGATATATATATATATATACATATATATATATATACATATATATATATATATATGGGTTCCCTTAAAAGGACAACGGCCTTTTTGGGGTTCCCTTCTGGGTTCCCGTGAATAAAAAAACGAGCTTGTTTGTGGGCTTCGGGTCTTCAGAGGCACCTTCAAGTCCACAAAGATGCTGAGACTCGGCTGGCATGCATTGGACACCTGAATGTGGTGAAATAGTTTCCCGGATGTTTCTCATTGGGGACGCCAGGTCGTCGAGGCGAGAGGTTAGTGGATTCGGGTGTTTCTCATTGGGCAGGTAAGTGTTTTTCTTTTGGGAGTCCTATTTTAAAGCATTCAAAAAGGGGCCCCTATTTTGAGACACCATTTGGGTGCCCGAATCCACCAACATCTCGCCTCGACGCTGAGTATCGATCCGAGGCTTTGCACAAGAGAGCGCCTCGCTCCAGAGCCTGGCGGTTTATTGAGGACGGACTCGAATCTTGGAGCCGCTGCAACTGTCAATATGGCTGTCCCAGGGTTTGTTTGTTGGTTGGAAGAAATGCTGGCCTGAACGTTGTCTATAGATCTTGAATCACGCCTTGAATGTTGCTATGTAGATAATGTATGTTCCACTCTTGTATCATGATACTAGTATGGGTCAAAATTAAACCACAGGGAATTGGACCGCATGTTTGGGTCCTTGTTTCCATTTACCGATCGGGCAAACCATGTCGGGGTTACCGACTATTTCCGACAACCACAGCCATATGGTGTTGGTAAATTGGGGGCCTGCGGAGCCCAGGAAGTCAGAAGTTCCAACCTCTGAGGGGTTCTGTTCTGTCCCTTATTGGCCGGAAGGGCAGGTGCGCAGTGTCCGCCCTTATAGGGTTGTCGCCTGCGTTGCTCGTTGAATTTTGCTTTTGCATGTTTGCATATTTGCATATGTAGTGGCGCAATTTTACGCATATGAATGTCTGAGGAGTTCTTGAATAGAAATTGGCTCACCAAAAGCCCCATGACATTGTGATTTTGGGAACATCTTGTAGAGGGTGCTTCGCGCTTTCAAGTGGATCGAATGGCCACCAAACAGCTGAGAGGCCTGAGAGGGCTTTTGGAGTGACGGGCCAAGATTCACGCTTTATCAGCACTGCTCGTAGTGCTCCCCGTCTTGCATGACTGTTTCGGCCTAACCGTACTGTGGATGGACAAACTCCCGCACCACCTTAAAACCGCGGGAAACCACTGTTTGTTGGTATTTACAGGGGAATCATCATTCGATGGTTTCTCAGGTGATGCGAAATGGATTTCGTCCATCCACGGTGTATGTGATTCCACGCTCAGCGCCTCTCCCTTGAGCTTTGCCGAACAGCTTCGTCGATGGCTTGGGCTCCAGGATCCGGTGCCAGCCTTGATGAGCGCCCGAAGTCAGCAGGTCCTTGGGCAGTACTACAAAGGCGCCAGGGGCATGGCCGTGCGTCGGAAGTTCGGAGCCGTTTTTTTTTCGCCAGAGGTTTGAGGCACTGGTTGATTCTACATACGGCTTTTTGTGTGTGTGTGTGTGTGTTTCTTGTGCTAAGTTGCTGGACCATTCGAACGACAAGACGGTGTGTTTACGTGTCCCTTTGGTTTGCTCAATACAACTATTCTGAGGTTTATATGGCTGTGGGTCAAAACCAATGGTACCATTCTGGGGTAGGTGCACCACCCATTTTAGTCCGTTTTAGTGGAGATCGGGATGTTCACTGGGGGCACGAAGTTTTGACCCATGGCCATATTTCAAAAAGAGTCCGGGCGAACAGACCTGAAGCAAAGGGAGCAAGAGGGATGGAGCCAGGCGCGAGTGGCCTGGCCTTGGGTGCAATGCGGCGCTTCATGCCAAATGCGACTGCCTCAGCCTGATTGACAGAGGCAATGGGCTTTAACCCAGCGGCCATTGTTTGGTTGACATGTTCCCATAAGCTCTTGGACTCTTTAGCTTTGTATGTGCGCCCTGGGATCATTCTGTGTAGGTTTGTAAACCAGAAGCAATTCAAACCTTCAATCGGTTTGTCAGCAGAATGAGCCACGGCTTGCCTCTGGACATGTCCGAAACTAAAGGCCATCTCTGCCACGCGGCGTGGCCGCATGCTTTAGGCCTACAAGAAGGGCCACAAATACCTGCAGGAGGCAAAGGGGATTTCGCGCGGACGGGGAGTCCAGTGAGTGGCTGCAGATTCGCCTCTGTAAAATGTTTCACCCGCAAGCCCGCCCACCCACCCGCCCACCCACCCACCCGCCCGCCCACCCACCCACTTATTCTGAGTTTTTGATCTTCAGCTGCTTCGGGCTCACATTTGGTGAGCTCAGAATCTGAAAGATTGCTATTTGTGGTCCAGGACCTGTTGCTCTTTGCGAGCGTTTTGTTGCCGCTCTGCATTTCTCCCGGAAGTGCGTTGTTCCAGTTTGCACCGCATCCAGGGTCATCTTGCTGATTTGCTTGCCCGTATTCATGTTTGTGTGTGTGTCTGCGATCCCCTGGATTCAAATTCAGCTTCCCGGTGTTCGACGTGCAACCAAACTCCGCTGAGATCCCAAGTCTCCTCCCATGCCAGGCCATGCGTGTCACTGCGACCTTCCAGGCAGTCCTTCCAGAGGCCCCAGCGAGAGCTCGGCAGCTAGACAGGGGCGGCTCTGGTAACAAGACGCCTAGAAGTGATAGCGTTTAATCCTCACATGGGGCTGTCTTTTTTGAGAGTACCCCTTTTTGGCGGATTGAAAGGGAAGAGAACAACCACATCCATGATATGTACCATGTTTTGCCAGTCCAAATTTGCTGTTGGTTTGTTCTTGAGTTCCAGGCTTGTTTTTTGTCCAGGATGCTGTGAGAGAAGCCCTGAGATCTCCGCAAGAAGCCCTGTTTTGAATAGCGCCAACACTGAAACGCGTGTGGGGTGTCTCTCATGGTTTCGTTTTTCGCTCGAAAGTTGTCTCCTCAAAGTGGCTGCAGAGCTGGTAGAAGAAGCACTCAATAGAGTGAATCAGGCTTCGCGAAGAAGCCGTGCTAGGCTTTCAAAGAATCCAACATGCAACCATGCGCAAGACTCGAAAGCAACCAAACAGCCAAGCGCCCAATCAACTTCAAGCGATACATGGCCATGGGTCAAAATCCCGTACCCCCAGTGAACATCCCAATCCAACCACCAAAATAGGTTCTAAAATAGGTGGTGAATTCACCTACCCCAGAATGGGATCCAAAACGGTTTTGACAACCACAGCCAAATGGCAAATCTGAGCCAGCAGCAAACCCACCAAGCGGCCATCCAGCGACTGAATCAATTGATCTGCCATGGGCCAGGCACTGCTGGATCCTCCTCCAGATGTGAGCCGCGGGGAATTTGATGCCTCAGTTCATCCGCAGCGGAACTACACTGAGGCACGGCAAGCGCAGCGCGCAGTTCACACTCGAACACATGAACATGATGCAAGGGGCGAGGAACCAGTTCAATCTGCAAGTTGATATCACCATTATTGAGCAGGTGGTTGGATAGTTTACATATGGCCAACTTGTTTATGACATGATTTGCGGTTGACATTTCTGGTTGGTTGTTGCTAGTTTGCGTATGTCCACTTTGGAGCTCTCGGCAGGCTCTCTGCCGACGTTTGCTGAGTCCTGGACCGGCGCACGCGAAGCCCAAGCGCAGGGGAAAGCCGAAAGCGAAGGGAAAAGCGCACGGCCCGACCCGCGAGGGACAGGTTCGCCCCGGCTTTATCCCCCGTTCAGCTTGCAGTCTGAAGGCCAACAGTGATGGTTCGATGTTTCGGATTGAAGAAATGTTGCGGAGCGGCTTCATGCCCCGTGCTCCAAGACATTCTAATATCTTGGCTGAGTTGTTGGAGTGGAGCCCACTACAAGGTGGGGATCTCGGCCGGGGTGAGTCCCGCTTTTGGCGGTTTTGAAGATGCACGTTGAAGGACATCGTGTGTGGTTGGTCAACATTCACTGACTCAAACTGGTTATCCTGAAACATTCACAGTGACAGGTGCGGATAGGGTATGGTCGGTGTTCAGCGAGTTCCCAAGTTCCCCAAAGCAAGAAGCTGCTTTTTCCTTGAGAAGCGCTGCCAGCCTTCATGTTTTTTTGGGGAGGGCTCAAAGTACCTTGTTTGGGTAAGGGGAACCAATGGAGACGAGCTTCCTGGTCAATTCTTCAGGCATGCTGGCCTTCGCCGGAGCCTCCTGGGGAAGCCGGGCCCAAGGCGGGAAGCATACAAGTGCTAGGTCCCCCCGGTAGTGCCCCTTTCCCGTTTCTTTTTTTGGTTGGGAGTTCTAGCCTCTCTACTGGAGGACCTAGAAGTGAGAAACGGGGGAGCTTGTGTAGCTAGGCCCCGCTTTCCAGCAGACATGACTGCGGATTCAGGGAATTTCCAGCAGTTCTCTGGTGCGTCAGGTGCTGGACTCGCCTCTCCTGCCGGGATCTTGGAGCCGAGTGAGGTGTGCCCACCTGCGCCTGTCTTCGAGCCGCACGCAAAGTTTCTCGCGAGTGCTGCAAGTCTTGCACATGTGCTCAGTCTTGCTTCTTCTTCTTTTTGGAAGACACGACCTTCAGTGTGGCAGACGCAAATTCAAGAAGCTGGTGTTTCCATGGGGGAAGAAGAAAACGTCTGCAACCACGGCTCCATCCACACGCGGAACCAGCACGGCCCATCGCACGCATCCGGCTCCACTCGCCGAAGGCGAGCGCGCCGCGGAGGAGCCCGAGCTCCGCTTCGCAAGGCACGGAGCGGGGGGGTTTTTTGTGGGAGGAGAAGTGGGCGTAGCTTCGAATAGACCAGGATGAAGGGTTTAGTTGCTTTGTTATGTATTGTTTCTCTTTTTTTCTCTGTTGGTTTATTTGCAGCTACACTCTCTTTGCTGGTTTTTGGAATTCCGTTTAAGACCGCCCGAAAAGGGGTACCTGTTGGATGGGAGCTCCGACTTCTCTAGTGCTGTCATTCGGCCATGTGCCAACGCAAAACCAAGGCTTCAAAGGAGCCAAACATGAGAGCGGGTTCGGAACCCCAATGTGGTACCATTTTGGGGTAGGTGCACCACCCATTTTAGTCTATTTTAGTCTATTTTAGTGGGGATTGGGATGTTCACTGGGAGTACGAGGTTTTGACCCATGGCCATGTGGCTCCTGGCTGCGAAGAGTTTCTTAGAGGTTTAAGGCGGTCTTGAGAATTTCCCTTGCCAGGAAGATCAGCTGCAGCTCTCTTTGCGGCCTTGGTGGCCGCAGACAGAAGGACCCGTCAGGGGTTCGTCTGGGAAACTGAAAACGGCTCAACATGAGCGGCTCAAAGCGGCTTTGAGATACTTGCCGTTGGCGGCTGACTTGCTGTAAGTTGTTGGTGCAGGTGGTGATGTAGCCTGCGCGCCGAGCTGGGGTTGGCGGATTTGTTTTTTTTCAGCGTGGTTGCTCCTCCGAAACTTGATGGAAGAAGAACCCAAGGCCCTTAAAGCCAAATGCCAATTTTACATTGCCGTAGTTTGAACCTTCCCTCGGAACCAAGCAACTCTGACAAGTGCAGACATCTATAAGCAATGCCAGCCCAAACCACCTAACGATCAATTATGCAGACTTCGTGCGGCAACCAGCTTGGGTTCAGAGGGCTTCAACGCCCCAATGGTGTCAAGTTTCGTGAAAGAGAAGGTACCCGCCCATTTCTGCACCATAAGAATGCTTTTTTGTGAACAGTCCGGAAGCTTCTCCGTTGTGAAACTTGGATGCTGGACTTCCATTTGTTTAAGAATATGTCTTATTTTCCTCTGTTGGTTTTAAACAGAATCGATCACTACTGCAAGCATTTTTATTTCCAGGGGGCTTAAGCAAATGGAAGTGGATGCACCGGCGGACGGGGCTTCCGCCAAACATTTCGTGAGCGGGGAGGTTAAGACCTCGCCCGCGGGTTCAGCTGCGGCCCTTCCGGCGCGACTTGAGCCTGGAGGGCTATCCGATCCACTGTAACGGCAGGGAGCCCTGGGATTTTGCCATTGAGCTGCTTTCCTTTGGTGCATTTTGCTTGGCTGTTAGGACTTTAACTTTTTGCCAACTAATGGGTTTTCCACTGAACCACTAAAAGTTAAACTTTTAGCAGGGGAGCAGAAAGCAACCGAGTTTTCTAGCACTTTTCAAAAACCGATCGCCATTTTCCTAGGGTTTTGGTGGTTTTCTCCCTAAAAGGAATGGGGAAGTTACTCCTGGAGCTTTGTGTGTTTGTCTTATAGAGTCTTAACGTTGACCCCTGATGAATAACTCCCCCCCAGTTGTTCATCAGGGGTGTCCTTTTTCGTCCCCCTGGAAGAAAGGATTCCCAACTAGAAAGGGACCCCCTCTTAATAGTACGTGGGGCGGTGTATTAATCAGTGGTCAGCATTGCCGGGTCTTTTGCTGCACCCTTTGTTGCACCGGGAAGGCTGCTCTCTTGGCAAACTGGTGTCTCGAAGCATGGCACTTCTGCAAGTCTTGGTCGACAAGCCTCGACTGGCTCAGCTCAAGGCTACTACTGGACGCTGTCAAAGTGCACTGAGGCGCGCTGACACTGAAGTTGGCTGTCCCATCTGTTGACACATGGGGCCCGTACCGCGGATGTGGCAGCCCTGGCCCTTCTTGAAGCTGTGATGTCCCATGCCCTGTTGCAGGCAGTGCTCATTTACATTCCCATCGCCGACGATGTAAAGAAGGAGGCCAGACGATCTGTCGCAGTGCAAAGCCATCATTGAGTCAGAGAATGAGGAAATCTTGGCGAGTTTGTAGCCGACAAAGAGCTGAGGATGTGGTCTTTGACTGCCGGAACGGAGTACTTCAGCACTGGGCTGAGACCCTGGACCAAGCAGTGGGGCATGAGGCATGATACTGTGAATGGACGGAATCCGAGACCGCACCGCTTTGAAACCAGGGTTGAAACCACTGATTGTTGTTTCATTTACAGGGGAATCATCACTCCAGGGTTTCTGAACGTTGGTGCGAAATGGATTTCGCGTCCATCCACAGGGAGACCTGCTGTTTTCAGGGCCGGACTTGTCCCGGAGAAGGGCGGCCTGGTCATCAACGACAAGGTGCCGGCCACTGGTAAGACCCGGTGCAACTGTCCAGTGGTGCCCGTTGTTTCCTTTTGTTTGGGAAGGGTTCCACTTTAAAGTCAGCCAACCAAACAAGGGTGCCCAATTTGTTTTTTTGGCTGGGCAGAGATAAGCTGTTGTTTGCAAGGAGCTCCTGAAGCCTAGGCAACGATTTTGGCTTGCAGGTGTCGGGTTGCTTGCATTGCAGGTCTTGTACGAGGTTGATGTCATCGACTCGTGCGCCACGATGCTGGAGAATCTGGTGGAATCTGGTGCCAGGTGGCAAGGTCAGGAATGTTTGTTTTCGGCTATGTTTGCAGCTTGTTGATCAAGCAGCATGCCGCTTTCCCATACAAGGGGATGTCCGCTCTGTCTTGCGTTCAATGCAGGTACTTTACCCTCGATGACGGCGAGTATGGCGAGCGCTGCCTTTCCATTTGGCTGGAAAAACGGACCAAGGAGCAGCTTTGGTGCCCCATCCCCTCACAGAAGCTGTGACGACACCTGTACCTCTTTCTGCTATGAATGGCTCTCAAAGTTGCCACGACCATACTCGTTTGCCCCGGGCGGATTGGAGGAACGCAGCCTTTCAGAGCCGGTGCCAGAAGGGTTTTGTGATGAATGCATGGTTTTGCCAAGAGAAGGTTTGCAGGAAGCTGTGTGTTTCTTGTTTCTCCATGTGGAGTCACGATGACTTGAGTAGAACATTACCAGCTGGCCCTACTTGACTCGGCCGATTTGCCGAGAGGTATGCCTACGATAGATTCGAGCCCGTCAGCGAGCGCTTCTTGCTCCAGGGCGAGAAGAAAAAGGCAGTTGGTGCACCCAGTTGTCAGCTGGCCCGGAAAAAATGCTTGGGGATTTGGTGTTTTTTTTCAGCGGACCCCCCCAATTGGTTGTTTTCTGGTTGGGTTCCTACCACACAATTGACAGACCCATTTGAACCCCTGGTTCTTGAATTCGAGTGGGGCGCTGCCTCCGGTTGAGTTCATCAACTTTGGTCCATTTTGGTGAGCTTCCTACCTGAGTGAGCTTGCACCCCATGCCGTTGGATGGGCAAAACAAATTGGCGGCACTTGAGGAACTGAAGTTTCAGATCACGAAGAAATGCTTCCTCGATATTGAGATCGATGAGAAACCCATGGGCCGCATTGCCTGTGCCTGAGAGAGTTGCCTGAGTCTCTTTGTGCCTTAGGGAGCTGCTGCTTGTATGTGGCTACAGAAGGGGATGCAGCAGGAGTGATGCAGTCCATCTTGGGAACAAAAATGTGTCTTGTAAGTGACCAATTGGTCCAAGCCTAGCTGCATAGCTCGGGAGAGGCGTGAGACGCCTCCCAGGCTTCTGAGCAGCCCATCTGAGGTGTTGGGCCTTTATGGCGACACCATGCCGCGGACAGTGTCAATCTTAGCTGCATGAGAAGAGGGAGAGGGAGGGAGAGGGAGAGGGAGAGGGAGAGGGAGGGAGAAAGAGAGAAAGAAGAAAGCAAAGAGAGAAAGAAAGAAGGAAGGAAGAGAACGCCTCACAGCCTTGTCCGCCAGATTGCTCGCAAAGGTCGAGAACTTCAAGTGCTTGTGCACAGGGGAGAAGGCGCTTTTTTTGGGTGTGGCTGCAAGCTACGCATGTTTCACAGTGGGACCTACAAGTTGAGGTCAGAGGTATGAGCCTTTGCCACCGACTCTTGACTGGTTAAAACAGTTGACATGTCAAACACAGAACATCAACAAGTCAATGTCAAACATGTCAAGCATGTCAAGACAAAACAACCTTAGGTACCAGAATACTGGTGTGCTCCCCAACACGAACAGCTCACGGACGCCTTCGTTTCCCGGCTTCAGGGCACCAGCAAGCACACTGGCGAGCCACTGCACTACAAGGGAACCAGGCTGCTTGGAAGAGTCAGATCACGCGAAACGCGTTGGAGGAATAAACCACCCAGCGGGGAAGCGTCAGATCACATGCACAATCAAGAGTCTGGTTGCTGGTATCCAAGTCTTTGGGGTTGCAAGGCTAGGAGTGAAGTGGATTGCTGGAGGTGATGGGGATGGTCATTGTACATACTTCGCGTGAACCACGGCTTCAGCCCCGTGTCAGGATTCACCGAGTGATCCCTGGATTCTGCATCCAGGCCAGGGCTTGCGAGATGAGTGCAAACAATCCGGATGAATTTTGCTCTATAGGCCAGCGGATCCACCAGTTGCGATTTGGCCACTCGAGATCAACCTGGAATGAGCCTGTCTGAACTGGACTTCTTAGACATGTGTCAGTGAAGCGTTTCAGGCGACTATGCCCACTACGTGGGACTTGATGGGATTGGCACAAGGTGTGGTATGCCCTTATTCCCATTTGCCAGGGTGGGCAAACCTTCGAGAATGAGGAGGGCTCTGGCGGAGAGTCCATTTACGGCCCAATTTTCGAAGACGAGGTGCGACACACCAGGGTTGCATTGCGCGCCCGATTTGAGGGCATTGCCTGGTTTTGTCATCGTGGACATGCCTGTGGGAGTTGTGTTTGTGTGGTTTTGTGTGCTCAGCGAACCCGCAAACCCCTGAACCCCAAACCTTGAATCAGGCCAGGCTGAGAATGACAATCAATTGGCACGGCCGCCAGAACTTGCGCATGAAGTTCACCGACAAGGGTCTCATCGCAATGGCCAACGGCGGCCCCAACACCAACGGCTCGCAGTTTTTCATCACCACGGCCAAGGCTTTGCGCACACGCGTTGACTCGTGAGGTATGGTCACAAGTTGTAGTAATTTGCTGGCAAGCCGAACATTGCAGTGGAGATTGCAATTCATTGAAGTTACTGGAACCAACCGCAAGCCACCAGCCTGACGGGGTGAGTCACGATACAACATTGCCTCATGTTCAGGCCGAGCATCTCAACTTCAAGTCTGTGGGATTTGGCGAGGCACTGGGTTGGGGGGAAGGCACCTGCGTCAAACATGATTTTGAGGCGAGGACATCTTGCCTCAGAAAAAGCGCAAAGTATAGCAAATGGTTCGCATATCTCAGGAGAATTATATTATAATTCTCCTGAGACATGTGACTGGCTTGCCATGGTGTAAAGAACCTGTTTCAACTCAAAGCTGCAATTGAACAGGTGCTGGACGGCTATGAGGTGGTGAAAGCGATTGAGTCGATTGGTACCTGTCTCAGCGTTGCGACCTGCCCGAAACCGCGCAAAGGGGCATCACGCCGAATGTTGCGGTTGCCATCCTTGCCCGGAGATGGACTATATGGGTTTGTCTCAAAGTAGGGAGACCGCCGAAATAGGTGGTTGCTCTTCTTTTGCTCTCCCTTTTAAAACCCACCAAAAAAGGTACCGTCAAAAAGAGACACCAACTTTAGGCACCATTGAGGGCGAGCCAGAGGAGACAGCTGCGCGGTGGCCGAGTTTTTGAGACTGCCCCGGGCCAATGAAATCACTCGAGTCGGTGTTTGTCAGTCGGCCGAGTTGCATGCGGTGAGTTGCACTGGCTCACAATGAGGTTCAATCATTTTGGTCACACAGAGACTGTTCAATCAAATTTGTACAGGTCATTTGACCATATTGCGAAGAGAAAAAACGAGGACAGACAAACACGTCAGCGAACGCAGCGCTCAAAAACATGGTCCCCTCTCAATGACTTGGTACCAATTAAAGAGAATCGGGTCCCTCGAGTTCACGTAGCCCAGAAATCGCAGTTTGAAAACGGCACCTGTTCGAAGGGTTCCGTTTCTGGACCCCAAAGTGAACCTAAACCCAGGGGTTGTCGCTTTCAAATGGAAACTCAGTGGGTTGAAGTCTACCACGAACTAGTCAAAAAACGGAAGCCTGACACGAACAACGGCAACTTTTTGCTGAAGGAAGAAAGTCCGGGTGGTCAGGTGATCGTAGACTGCGGCACCTTGGAGTTCGAGGAAGGGGAGCAGGAGACGCGGCATTGGTGTAGCTTGTGGAACCATACCTCTCGCAGATACATGGGTGTGGCTCGAAATTTGCGAGCAAGGGCAAACCGCTGGTTTTAGTCTTTGGTTCCATTTACCTTTTGGTGCCATTTTGGGTACCTATTTTTGAGCTACAGCCACATGTGCAACAATAGCTTTGATCACCATGCTTCCCGATTGCATGATGCATCCTGGCGCCTGGATGATGGTGTGTGGATGATCAAGAGAGCTTACGATGGTTAGGGCCATACCGTGTAGCTGTGTTCTGCATGCTGCTCACGCTGCTCAGCAGCCTGCAGGAGAAGCTGAAAAATAGAAGAAGACAGGCGGGACGCGGGTGAGCGTCCCCTTCCAACCACCGTCCAAGCCTTTGTGCAAAAGAGCTGAGCTTGCAAAGCTTGTGCAAGAGATTGAAGAAGCAACTTTTTGTTCACAGTGGATCAACAAAATATTAATATCCGCATGGGTTTCCTGTGGAATGCCTTGCTGCGACCCATCATGCCATGCCAAGCAGGATGGACATGGTCGTAGCAGACCTTGTTGTTTGCCCAGCTGCCTGGCCGAGTGGTCACGGCAAAGCATTTACAAGGTTATTGCAAGGTTCCGTTGGTATTTGTTGGGTTCCCCTGATCAGCAGAACCCCAAGATATTCTTGAAATTGAACTCGGCCAGGAATAGCAAGAAGCTGGAAATAACGATGCGACTACCAACATGATCCAGACCAACAAGTTTGAATGGCACTAGGGACACCATGCCCATATTTGTTTGCAGGTATGCCGTCGAGCCTCGCCAAAGCTTCTCAAACTTGCGCATGGGTACAAGCAAATCCCTATTGCACAACGTGAGTTTTGCTTGCATGACATTATTTTGTTTGCCTGTGCGATAGCGCACAGTGCCTGTTCGACGCAACGATTTATTGGGGGGAGGGGGAAAGAAGGAGAAGGCCCCAAACCCAAACCTTTCGGTCCGTTCAACTGATGGCTTCCGAAGTTCAACTGCTGGCATGCACGGCTAGGCCCCGTTTCGGCCCGTCAGGGAGGCGTAGACCTTACGCTGCGCAACGAGATGATCGAGCGGGCCGCGCGCCCGGACGGTAACCAGGCAGTGGCATTTGGCCGGAGCCAAGGTGTCACTGATACAGAGGCGATTCTGTGGCTCACAGATGGCACGCTCCAGTGGTGGGTTTGCAATTTCCTGGCGTTGCAAACTTATTGTAGTTGTAGTTATCACCTTGGAGTATTGCTTCCTTTTGTCCACTGAGTGGGTAATAAAGCTTCTTTTTCGGAAACACACTTCGCTCTCGATTTGCTCCCTTTGGCCACTGGAAATTTGGCCACTGGAGGGCAGGGGTGGTGAAATGGCTCCAGGCATTCCAGGCACCAAAGTCGAGTCGGGAATCGACCAAACCAGTCATTCCCATCCTCAAGCTTGAGCTCGATTTCTTTGGGCATGCATAAACCCTGGCTTCAGATATTCTGGATGCGGCTCTTTGAGGCTACCCGTTTTTGGGCTTTGTGAAGATTGAAGCCAAACGTGAATAGGGGTGCCCGCCATTGTGAGAACCTGGTTGCCGTGGCCATGCTTTCCGGTTTCTAGGTGCGCGGCGCAACTGCCCAAGGGCTGTGAGCGGCTGGGCGGGGGTCGCGGCTTTTGGGATGGGACACAGAATCAAAACACAAAGACCGCAGTCTGCAACCAGGTCTTGTGGTTTTGGTTTGGAACAGAAGCTTGCGTGATCTCAAGATGAGAGCGTCCATCTTTGCTCCACATGGCCGAAATCAATGCCCCACACCGTACCGTATGATTGAGATGTGTAGCGTTGGAGCCGCTGAAGAATGTAGGCTTACTGTGTGATGCATGTTGCTGGGACGAACCTGCCAGATGGTAGTGCTTTACATCGATTGTAAGAACAAGTCTGTGCAGTTGCCGTGGTGCGATGCAGGTTTTCATCCATTCACAGCATCACCACTCATTGTCTCTTGTCACTCTCCAGTGGTCGCGTGACCCAAAAGGGGCTGTGAGCGTGTTGGCCTTCTTTACACGTGCACGTTGGTGGCCAGCAAAGCTGTAGGAGCTTCACCTTGAAGTTGCGATGGAGGCGGAGACCATGAATGGTGTGTTGACAGTTGGGAATCACTACATGTTCCATGCAAAGAGAGTTGCAGACAGAGATGCAGACACGGACAACGCCACAGACACAGACACACAGGCGCAGATACACACACAACAGGGAAAAACAGAAACACAAAACACACAACACACACACAACACACACACACAACACACACACACGCACAACACACACAACACACACGCACACACAACACACACACACACACCACACACCACACAACATACACAACACACACGCACACACGGGCACACGGGCACACGAACACACCGAATCAACATGTTCAGCGAGATAGACAAACACAGACAGAACCACACAAATCCAGAAACACGCATCGGGAATAAATAAACAGCAGAGAGGCATGGATTCCAGTTGGTTGGACTCCGCAGGAAGTCATCAATGGCCTCAGAATCAGGGATCTTCCGGTTAGATCATTGCACAGAATACGTGCAGCTGCTGCTTGCTGCATTTGTTTGACCCTATTCAGATGAAATTGGCTGCTCAACCTTTTGCAGGGGGTCACTATTGATCACTATTGGAGGGTTCTATACTTGCTTTCAGCCCATTGCAAGCCGCGGTTAGCCCTTGACTGTCCCTTGCCTCGCGGCTTGGCTCAAAGCGCTGGCTCGCGCAAACTCCGGGCTTACCAGGGGACCTCACCAGGAGTGTGGGGAGCGCAAATTTGCTTGCCTTGTGACCAGAGCAAGTTTGTGTTTTGGCGGGTTTGTGGGGAATTTGCCCGTTTCCCATCAGCGGCTTCAGGGATGTGCTGCTGTCACCTGCCTTAAAAGATGGCGGTTTCAATCTGGGCATTGTGTGGCTGGGTCGGGATGAGTTCTAGAGGTTTGCCTCGGGAGTCCTGGATGGTTCTTAAGGCCGCTGGTTGACTATGTTGACTTCAATAGCAGGCTTTGAATCGCTTTCCCTCCGAGAAACATGCAATACATGTTCATAGGTGTCCTTTTTGGTTGTTTTGGTAAAAAATGATGGCCCTGGTTTGCCTGGTGGTTTCATCATCTACCAGGGCCATCTATTTGCCCTAAAAGGACACCTACTCACATGCTGCGCAATGCCCTTTGAACGCCTCCAGCCTCAGCCGATCAGGACAAAATGGCTCTGCGAACCGCACGCTTCCTTCGCTTCGCAAGCGAAGCCACAGGTCCGCTGCTCAGACAGTGCAGGGAGCATGCATCACGTTAGCTGTTGTTATGTGGGTGCTTACAAAAGGTTAGCTTATGGCTGGTTACGACTTGTTGGGTTTTGCATATATGTTTATGGTTTTTGTAGATAGTTATTTTAGCTGTTTGATGCATTGCTTTGTCGGCACGCTTCTCGCACTAACATGTTGACACGGCCTTGTGAGGTGTCAGCAACAGGCTGCTTCTGACACTTACTTCTCCCGGAGAGGACGCTCGGATAATGCTGAGACGTGTCTTCTGTTTGATTGCGTTTGCTGAAGATGCTGTGAGAGTGGCGTTTGTGCTTGTGCGGCTTGCAGAAAAAGTTTGTATGTATGTATGTAATGTAATGTAATGTAATGTAATGTAATGTAATGTAATGTAATGTAATGTAATGTAATGTAATGTAATGTATGTATGTATGTATGTATGTAATGTATGTAATGTATGTATGTATGTAATGTAATGTAATGTAATGTAATGTAATGTATGTAATGTAATGTAATGTAATGTAATGTAATGTAATGTAATGTAATGTATGTATGTAATGTATGTAATGTAATGTATGTATGTATGTAATGTATGTAATGTATGTATGTATGTATGTATGTATGTATGTATGTATGTATGTATGTATGTATGTATGTATGTATGTATGTATGTATGTATGTATGTATGTATGTATGTATGTATGTATGTATGTATGTATGTATGTATGTATGTATGTATGTATGTGTATGTATGTATGTATGTATGTATGTATGTATGT